CCTCTGTGCCTGGTGTTCTCTTGCAGGGACTGGCCCTTCGCGATCACATGTCGAATGTTCCTGAGACAAGTCTCGCCACCCTCAACCCCAAGGCACAGTCGGCTACACCTCTGCCACGATTGATTTGTTCATTCTTCTAGCGGTCCACGGCCACTCAACAGTCTTCTTCAACTCCGAGACTCAAAGGCATCGACCCTTCTCTGGCCCGTAGCCACTGTCCAGCTCTCACATGCCTGTCAGACAAGGGAAAGCACCGGGACGTGGTCACGCCCACCTTTGTCCTGGAAGGGACGTCGTTGCTCTCTAACACTCGAAAGGGGTTTGAGGCTGGAGACTGTGTGTATTGATGCAATACACGGTGTGATTTCTTGATCGCTGCTTCCAGATGCTTTGATTGCCGATGACAACTTCAGTCGTCTACTATGTTCATTACAGTGTTGTCTATCAGTCTCGTTGTGGGCTTTTGCTTTCTTCACACTGAGTATCGTTCATCTGAAGGCCGACGTCTTTGGTCTTCATTGGTGGGTGGAGCCTTGTCTTTGGTGATAAGAAACATGGCAGTGAAGGTGGATGTGGATGCAGTGAGCGCAGCACAGCCAACGTCAAACCAGTGCTTGGACCCGTAAGTGTGCAGGCACGTTGGCATCGCTGAGAACAGATAGAAGAGTCTATAGATTCATGAAGTACAAAGATGTGGGTACAGAAACACATTACTGAAGGCACAAATACAGATACTCCCGAACATAACTAAACCTCTTCGAAAATGGGCTTTCTGGGTTTGAAAGTTTAGGACCATAGTCTCCTGGGACACCTCTGTCAGCTGGCACTGCACAGTTCCCAAGAGTCATGATGTGCATCCCAGTGAAGGGAGCAGTGCCGAGGGTCTTCAGTGCTTGCAACGGCCCTGTAAGAAACAACTGCACATCTCTCCTCGCCAGGAGCAGAACAGGAGGAAGGGAAGCGAAAACGCGGGCGACAACCTCCCCCACCATGGAACTAGACGTGATGGATGGTGCCCAGCTATCACCACAGATCCTTCGGACCAAGGTTACAGGAGATGGTCCCGGACAGAATGGGAGAAAAACATGGAGCAGAACTCAAACCGAACAAACAAGACAAGCTGGAAAAGTGAGAGAACAGAAAACTTCCCGAGACTATCGCTCTAAGACACTCTTTACATCTAGAATGGAGCCTGTCCTCTGGGTCAACTTTTAGTGAAACAGTAGAGTGATGCGTGCAATAAAGGCTTTTAGTAAGATGGACGCTCTCCTTAAAACCATCTGTATGAGACGAAGAGGTCCACTATGATGCTGCAAAAGCAAAGATGAAAGATCAGAGGGCAGGGAAATGGGAGTACTGGCCACGGAATAACAGACAGAGAAGGTGACGAATATGGGGATGAAGTTTCTCAGCATGGCTCTTCTACCCGCCAAGTGACAGGGTGGGACAAGCACACAGGGCATGTGTAACACTAATAGAGGGGTGCAGTCAGTTTTCGTTACCACTCCCATGGCTAGGAGAGCATGTTCTAGATCTGTCTGAAGGGAGGAGGGGCCTCAGAGACTGCGAGCCTACTCTCAGAGGACGCACAGCACCAAGTCCTCCCCCGGGACTGTGAGAGCAACAGGCTGGCTTCCTGGTCCA